GGCTGTCCGCCGGCGCGGTGCGGTTTCCCTCCGGCCTCCGAGCGCCTTCTCAGGACCCTCGGCTCCATCATCCTGTCTCTAGATGCTCCTCCGTCGTCCTCGACCAGGGTGTGGTCTCCGGTGACCTCACCGGCCGCTCCCCGTCACATACCTGACCTTCACTCTGGCCGGAGCTCCCAGCGAGGGGGTCCGCGCGGGGTAGCGGACAGTGCAGGGTCCTGGGGTCAGCTCCCCGCCCCCGTGGGTCGTCAGACTTTACAGGACAGCCTGCCCGAGGTGGCCCGCTGGACACTACCCAGGTAACAGGTTTCCCAGGAGGGTGACTCAACGTGGAGACAGACACCTGGGTCCAGGTACAAGTCATGGAGCGTCCCATTAACGTCACGAACACTCACTTTTTAGAGTGACTTTTGAAGAACCAGTTTATTAATTACACCAAAAGCATAAACAATTTATACGCCAAACTCCACCAGCTGGAAAAACACACAATAAAGATGATCTCCAAAATAAAAGTCCTGTGCTCACAGATGAGTTTGACCTGTTCAATTAGAAATGAAGTAATGGCTAAAAATGTTTAAATGTAAATGAAAATGGTCTTCCATTTGTGCAATTCTGAGTGGGTGCCCAATATTCAAATATATACTAGTATATGCTGGCAAACTCAGGCCACTTGGGCTTCCCCGGAGGTCCTGGCGACCTTGCACACCCTGCCGTGATTCCCGATTCTCCGCACGAGTTCTAAGTACTTTCCACACCTGCGGTTCCAGAACAAACCCCAGTGGGCGCTGAGCTTTTGCACACCAATATGAATTTGTTGGCACTTCTGAAAATTGTGATCACTTTCCAAGTTTGAGACCTGCTGGGTGTCAGGGACAACAGGAGGCAGGACGAGCACCCATTTCCAAGTCTTCTGCTGCATCTCACTGACCTGTAGAAGTAGTCATAAAAAACAAAGCGCCACCCATCACACTGCACAAACAGTTCATCTTAGCCTAAGCTTTTGCAAACATTCATATCACAGAAGAGAAAGTATTACACAGCTAACGACAACGAATTTCCCTACAATGTCACATAAACACGGACAGCACATTAAATCGTTTGGGAACCGTTTTCCTGCCAATGGCCATTTGGGTATTTATAACATCATTCACAGGCCATGCAAAATTATCAACTTAAAAATTAGCCTGCTATATTTGGTCAAACATTTAATTAACTCATCCCTAATGCCTTGGCAGGGCCAGACCAAATGATTTCTTGGACTTTATACAGCCCTCGGGCCAGACGTTCCCCACCCCTGCATTAAATAAACATTCTGTTATTACTCCTTAAATATATTAACACCAAAAATCAAGTATAAATAAGGAAATAAATGTACAAACTATTTCACAAAGTGCTTTTTAAAATATATACACAACATTCAAGAAATTCTTAATGTAAGACATTTCAGATTGAAGTTTCAGGATAACTTTCAAGTGTCCTTTTCTTTAAAAAAAAGTGTTCATTAAAAAAAGCCAACCCTACACACATAAAAGGAATATTCCCAGGATGGCAAGAAATAAAAATAACCTAGTTTCACGGTTATCTAAAATGTTTAACATTTTCAATGGGAAATTTTAGTTCCTGATTGAGTCTACAAATTAGATCTATGACAACTGTCAGGAAAGAACAAAACAAATCAAGGGAGATGACATTGCTAATGTCTGTGTCATTTAGCAAATAAGAGCTCTCACCTCAGTCATTGAATATAGATATATATTTTTAAGCCCTTACCAGTGTTTAGGGTTTTTTAAAGCCAATACCAGTATACCTATAAAATAAACGCTTCTATCTTAGTATATCTGATGTATCAAGAATTCGATATTTTTTGTATTTTCTTGGTTGTTCTTGGAAATGTCAGCATTCATCCAAAGATGTTTTTAAAGGATTCACAGTAAAAGTAGATATTACCCAAGTAAATATTGACAACATGTCAGTATTACTTAGTGAAATGTAGGATTTTTCCTCTGACCAGACTTTTCCAAGTGAGCTGTCTATAGTGCTTGCCCAGAATTTAAATAGGATTTAAAGTCCTGGGAATGTAAAAATTATTCACATTTCTCTAAGTAAAAACTTTCCTTTTCACTAGGAACACCACAATACCCTCAGTAGGGTTCTTTTTAAAATTTAGTTGTAAATTTTAGATGTCCCTAAAACAGCGGTTCTCAACCTGTGGGTCACGACCCCTTTGGCGGTCGAACAATCCTTTCACAGGGGTCGCCTAAGACCATCCTGCATATCAGATATTTACATTACGATTCATAACAGTAGCAACGTTACAGTTATGAAGTAGCAACGAAAATAATTTTATGGTTGGGTCACAACATGAGGAACTGTATTTAAAGGGTCAGAAGGTTGAGAACCACTGCCCTAAAAGAAAAGCAACGCTTGCTTGGAGATCTGAACAAGCAGGTCGTGGAAGAAATAACATAAAACGAACAACTTGCCAACTGTGTGGAAAGTTTGGTGTCACTATTTTAAGCTATAAATTTAGAATGGGGCACATTTACTATTCAAACCCCCAAAATGACCATCAGGTAAACATGGGCCGGAGCCCAAGCCCTGTCAGAGCACCTCCTCTCTGCGCGTTGGCGCTGCCTCCTGGGGTTGGGCTAAAGGTGGCTGCCTTCGTGGACTCATATCTGCAACAGTCATTGATCTCGCTTTACTTTTTAAAAGGAGAGCATGTAACTTTTTGGATAGATGGAATCAGCGAGAGAGGTAATGAGCTCCGGGAGGTCCTGGGCAGTTCGCAGCCTCTCCACATGAAACATATGTAGTCTTTAACAGAAACAGACCCAAAACACAGACAAAGCCCCGCCCCACCGAGGCCCGGGAAGAGGCTGCGCCCAGGGCTGCGTGAGCAGGTCCAGCTGCGGGGTCACCACTGAGACAGGTTTACAACCCACCTTACCCTGCGTGAGGAGAGCTGGACCTAAGGTCTGTTTATACGATACACTGACTATGGCATCTTGTAGATTCCCATCGCTGGGCACAGAATACTCTGATGGCAAGAGGACCCTAAAGCTAGCTAGAAACATCGACGTCTCCATTCACCATGTGGACATGATACTATACACAGCACCAGGTACGTCACACCATCAGCGCGCAGTCCCAAGCCTCCGGCACACTCGGCGTCATACCCAGCATGAAATGTGCACACTTCACATGCGACACGTGTGGGGCGAGGGGGAACCGACGGGCCACAGTTTGTCAGAACCGCCACAGGTCGGTCCACGCCGGCGGACACACCACTACAAGGCTCCACCAAGAACGCTGTCCCTTACTGCTGGTAATTTCCATACTGGCCCTGCAAGAGACCAGGGCAGAGATTATACCCAGACACAAGTAGAAGCCCCCACCCCGGCTAATGTGCGGGATGAGACAAGGAAGGTGTGACAGGCAAACAAGCGGACAGGGCAGTCACTGGCTTTCCCAGGAGAGAGGGCCCCTCTGGTGGTCTGAGCCAGCCCTTGGCCCCCTAGGACCTCTTCCTAGCACTCTCTGCCCGGCTCCATCCTGGCCCCCAAGCAGCATCCAGCTCTGTGGGACGAGACCCAAGCTCTAAAAGTGTGGCCATCAGTGTCTAGTTGCCGTGACCCCGGCATGCAGAGGGGAGGGCACACGTGAGCCTCTGCGGCAGGAGAGAATGCCAGACTCCAAGTAAGTTGACGATGCACAAAACCAGCTGTCTGACCAGGGTGAGCTGCACATCCAGGTAATTTTTAAAACCTTACCGGGTCAGAGAATAACACCCTGGAAGACGGCTGGTTCACCTCACTATTCGTGACCACAGAAGAACCTGTTATGTTTTGACAGACACGCAGACCTACGTGTGGGGAAACATCTAGAAAGCTTGCCTGCTCGTAGCCGTACGGCCGCTGCTGCTGCGCGGACGGGCCGGTCTGTGACGTCCTGTAGCTCCCGTACTGTTGGCCTTGTCCTTGCTGGTAGCTGGAATACTGTGAGGGGGCTCCCTGGGCCGGCCCTGGGAACACAGCAGCCGTGAGGCCACCCCACCACGCCCGGTCCCCTGGAAAGCTCCAGACAGCAGACCCAGGTCTCCTGGGCAAATCTGCGTAGCGAGCGCGCTCAGCAGGCCGAGCTGCTGTCCAGTACCCCGCCTGCTGCCCCAAGAGCTTCACGTCATGGTGGTCACCGTGGCCCATGTGAGTTCACAGCAACCAGTGAACACACATGCAAAAGGCAGTGGAAACTAAGCTCTGGGGAGAATTCAGAGAGGCTGGGGGAGGACAGCATCGTGGTCCCAGAAATAAGCAAGTGCTCAGAACACAAAGGACAGGGCACAGCAGCCAACGCTGGGACGACGTGAACAACAAAATAAACAAGCCCTGAATGACAGCCCAACGTGTGAGACTAACATCCACGCCACCTCATACAAATAATGACTTCTTTCTGTTTTGCTGATTTTTATCTGGCTTTTCTATTTCTATATTTGGGGCGGGGGGGGGTTGCTTTCCCTTTAAAGGAATTTAGAGATTTAGTTTGTTATATTTCTCTCATTCTCTTTCTTATGAATACAGGCATTTACATGGCAGCATTTCATATATTATGAAATTCTTTATATTTTCATTGTAAAATATTCTGTAATTTTTGTATAGCATTTCTTCCCTGACCCCCGGGTGTAACTTAAGAGAATTTTTAACATTCTTCATTGTTGTTTATTATTTAGTTACATTCTTGCTATATGTGTGTGTGTGTGTGTATGAATACTTTTTTTAAAAATTAATTTTAGAGAGGAAGGGAGAGGGAGAGAGATAGAAACATCAATGATGAGAATCATCGATCGGCTGCCTCCTGCACTGGGGATCGAGTCCAGAACCCAGGCATGTGCCCTGACAGGGAATCGAACCAGTGACCTCTTGGTTCCTGGATCGATGCTCAAACAACTGAGCCATTCCAGCCAGGCCTTGTTACATAGTTTTAGTGTTACTTCATTGTAGTCTGAAAATGTGCTACGTAGAATTCTTTATATTTACAAATTCACTTTTTTGCATTTTCTCCATGTGACTGATTTTTGTGACATTTCTGTATTAACTAAAAATAAAGTGCCCCTGGGGGCTGACCACGAAGTCGTCTTTGTATAAATGGTGATTAATGACTCAGTGGAGGAGGAGATAGGCCTTCCCCACAGGATTCTAAACAATCCATGTAGACCCCCTAGAGCAGAGGTCCTCAAACTACGGCCCGTGGGCCACATGCAAATACAAATATTGTATTTGTTCCCGTTTTTTTTTTTACTTCAAAGTAAGATATGTGCAGTGTGCATAGGAATTTGTTCATAGTTTTTTTTTAAACTATAGTCCGGCCCTCCAATGGTCTGAGGGACAGTGAACTGGCCCCCTGTTTAAAAAGTTTGAGGACCCCTGCCCTAGAGTGTGGTCTGCACTCGGGGACTCCCTCCCAAATATTACAGAAGGGGAAGGAGCAGCTGTAACTGGACAGATGCCCCCTGACCCAGTGACCGAGATCAGCATCGGAGGCGTCATGCTGACAGGAGGTGACAAGGGCACCTCACCTCTGTGGTCTTTCCAAAGCCCACAGCCCAGTCTCATCCCAAGGAAAGAGGAGAGCCTGCTGGGCCCAGCTGGCTGGGGCATCGTCCCGCACACCAAGAACAGGTTGCGGGCGTGGGTTCCGGTCAGGGCACACACCTTGGTTTCGTGTTCGATTACCGGTCAGGGCGAGTATAGGAGGCCATCAATTGATGTTTCTCTCTCATATCAATGTTTCTCTCTCTCTCCCCCTTCTTCTTTCTAAAATCAAAAAAACATATCCACGGGTGAGGATTTAAAAAAAAACACAAAAAACAAAGAGAAAGTCAGAGCAACTGTCGGAGCCCAGAGGAGCGTAAGGAGCCCAGAGGGTCCCGGGCAGAAAAGGACATTCAGGGAAAACTAGTGAGGTCTGAATCCCCTGTGGGTTTGGACCGCAGTGCTGGACCGACATCGGCCTCTTAGTGTGACAGTCGCATGACAACAGGACTCTCCTCTCCTCGCAGCTTTCCCACAACACACCCTAAACCACCCCGTCAAAGTGCAGGAGGCGTGTGCCGGGCAGCACTGCTGTGTGCTGCACGGGCAGTGCCCTCTTACCGTAGCCTGGCTGCTGGCCCGGGTAGCTCTGCTGGTTGGGGTACTGCTGCTGGTACCCCGCCTGCTGCTGGGCTGTGCCCTGCTGGTACCCCGCCTGCTGCTGGCTGTACTGCGAGTTCCCTGCAGAGTGGAGGAGACGCAGGTGATGTCTGCTGTTTGCCAGGGGCTGTCTAGGAACCTCACTTTCCCCACTTCTGACTTCCAGAGCAGGAAGCTGGCACTTGACACTGAGGCCACGCCATCCTGGGAGCTGACGGCTTCTCCTCTCTCAGGAGTGAGGGCAGCTGGCACCCACCCGAAAACCAACTGCGAGTATTTGCCCCCAAATCCACGCCTGGAGCGTCACTTGGTGGCTTGAAGGCAGTGGGTGTCTGCAGCAGGGGTGGGCAGGCGCTACAGCTCGGCCGGCAGATTCCCTAGCTGTCTACCTCTTGGATCACCCTGGTGCCAGGGCCTCCGGAGCCTGGCTTCCTGGTTCCCTGACCCTCCACACCGCTTTCCTGACCTGTGGTCCATCTCTAGGAGCATAAGAGTGGGTGGTCTGGGGTGAAGGGTGCGGAGATCTGAACGCCCTGCCGCCACCCAGGACCTGTTCCTGCACGTAGAACCCTGTGAAACCCACTAACCCACAAGCTGGCCTCGTCTGCCTCCTCCTTTGGTCTCTTGGCAAAGTCGGCATTTGGGGGCCGCTCTGCACACACAGCTTGTCACAGAGCAGAGTCTGGATGCCTGCCTCCGTGTGGCCAGCCCTCCTGCTTCATGACCGCACTAGGTGTGCGGGACCCAGGCTCCGCCTGCCCTCCCACTTCCAGAAGTCGACGCGGCCCCACAGAGCTCTGGCCCTGCTCTAAGCGTGCCCGGTGCCTGCGAACCAGCATCTCAGTGGGGACACACCACCCTCCCGCGTGGCACTGTGCTTACCGCCCTCATAGTAGTGCTGCGTGGACTCCTCGAAGGACCGGTCATAGCTCTGCTCCGAGTAGGATGACTGCTGATAGGCATAATCGCTGTGCCCTGCAAGCAGACGATGGCTGGCAGTCAGGGACCTAACCACTAGACACAGGGGCGGGGGCAGCCCGAGTCAGGCGGGCAGTGCCATGGGGTCGGGCAGTGGCCAGAGCCGGGCACGATCAGTTCCTCACAGATGGAGCCCATGAAGGAGCCCACCATGGTCCCTGTAAGTAGAACGCAGATGGCCACACGGCCCTCAGTGCCCCGAGTACTGACTACATTCAGTCTTGACACGCGGCAGGCATCATGGCTGTTGGCTGCCAACGCTGCTGCATGGCTGCCATCCGCCGTCTGCTCTGGGGGATCCCATCTGGGGTGCTGTGCCCTGCAGAGACCTTCACGCTATGTGGCGGGCCTGGCTAGCCCCGTGCTCGTCTCCGCTACCCCAACCTGATCCTGCTGGCTTGCTGTCTGGGAGTCCTCCCCAGCCATCCCCTCCGACCACCATAAATGCCACCTGCCAAACCTGGGACTACTAAAGGTGACTGAGAGGGGACAACGAAGGGAAAATCCTCGGCGGGAATACGACTGATCAGCGGGGAGCCAAGTGTCATAAGACCGTCACCTTCCTGGAGGCGTTTCACAGGCCGCTGCGTCCCTCCCCTCAAGTAGCCACAGCTACCTGCTCAGTGTCCCACAGCTGGGCCTGCGTCACTGCCTCTGGGGAAGAGAGATGAGCAGCCCAAGGAGGCGAGTGGCCGCGGCAGGTGCCAGTCACTCAGGCACAGGGACTGGGATGCTGGGTGGGCGGGCGTGAAGGGTGGGTGTGGCGAGAGGCGTTTCGGGGGCTCACCGTCAGCGTAGTACTGCTGGCTGAGCGGCTCCGAGGCCGCCTGGCCGTGGCCGTACTGCTCGCCCCCGTAGTACTCCTCCTGGCCCAGGTACTGCTGGGACGAGCCTGCAGGTGGGTGGGCTGTGGGTGAACTTGGGGCCTCAGCCCCACGAACACCTCCTCGACGGGCCACAAATCGAGATGCCCCACCACACCACCCCCGGGGATACCGCGGCACTGCCCTGCACCGAGCCCTCTACACCTGACTGTCGCTTAGACATAGCTGCCCACCCCACTGCAGCCACACAGCCACCTGTGACCCCACTGAGCACTCCAGCCTCGTCCGCCCCCTGTGAAGACACTGGCTTTCAAACTTCAATGTTTCGTGGCCCCACTGGGCTCCAACCCGCAGCGTCCTCCTTGTGCAATACCAAAAAACGCGTGGTCTCTCTCTCACTCACACACACACACACACACACACACACACACACACACCCCGTCCTCCCAGCCCTGGAAGGGAGCACATGGACTGCAGGCGCATGGCGGTACCTTGCTGGGAGGGCCGGTAAGGCGCCATGGGCCGCTGCCCCATCATGCTGCTCCCCTGCCCGCTCTGGCCCATCATGGCGATGGGCTGGCCCTGGTAGTGCTGGCTCCCGCCCTGCGCCGAGTTGTAGTGGGACGAGGCAGCCTGCTGATGCATCATGGACACTGGGCGACACGACAGACCCGAATAACCCCGAGAAGTTCCCAGGGCGGCACCTCACCCCCTGGCTCAGGCCCAAAGGTGCCCTTCTCCCAGGCAAGCTTTCCCTGTATCCCCGGGCTCCCCCTAGAGATGGTCTCCTCCCTTCCCTGTCACACTTCCTACCAGCGAACCTCGGCACCAACTCTCACCATGGTGACACTCAGAAGACGCCACAGGCTCCCAGGCCACCTGCCCTGCTCATGTCACCCTGCTCAGAGCTCTCACTCAGCAACACCCAACACGACGAATGTGAGCCATGTCAAGAGTGAAAAGAGCTCTAGCTGGTGTGGCTCAGTGAATAGAGAGTTGGCCTGCAGACTGAAGGGTCCTGGGATCGATTCTGGTCGAGGGCACGAACTTCAGTTGCTGGCTCCTCCCCGGCCAGGGCCCTGGTCGGAGTGCATGTGGGAGGCAACCAATCTATATTGGTTCTCTGCCCCACTATGCCTCCCCTCACCCAAGTGACCCCAGTCCTGTCCTCACATATATGTTTCTCTCTGTCTTTCCCTCTCTCTTCCACTCTCTCTAAAAATCAATGGAAAAATATCCTCAGGTGAGGATTAAAAAAAAAAAATGAAAAGAGCCCTAACTAACTGGTGTTGCTCACTTGTTAGAGCACTGGCCAGTGGACCAAAGGGTCGCAGGTTCAATTCCCGGTCAAGGGCATGTCCCTGGGTTACAGGTTTGATCCCCAGCCCGTGTCAGGGGCCCGTGTGGGAGGCAACCAATCAATGTGTCTTTCACATTGCTGTCTACCTCCGTTCCACTCTCTCTAAAAATCAATGGAAAAATATCCTCAGGTGAGGATTAAAAAAAAAAAATGAAAAGAGCCCTAACTAACTGGTGTTGCTCACTTGTTAGAGCACTGGCCAGTGGACCAAAGGGTCGCAGGTTCAATTCCCGGTCAAGGGCATGTCCCTGGGTTACAGGTTTGATCCCCAGCCCGTGTCAGGGGCCCGTGTGGGAGGCAACCAATCAATGTGTCTTTCACATTGCTGTCTACCTCCGTTCCACTCTCTCTAAAAATCAATGGAAAAAATATTCTTGTGCGAGAATTAACAAAAAAAAAAGAATGAAAAAAACACAGATGAAATATGTCTTAGTAATAGACTTTATCTGACTTAATAGGTACAAAATATGATAATTTCCAGTATGTAATTACTACTAACACATTGAATACGCCTCACACCCCCTTTTCTGGACTGAGCTCTGAAACCCACTGTCTGATACTCATGGGACACCTCAGTTTGGACCTGATGTTCCCTGAGTACTCAGCACCCCAAGGCCACCATGGACAGCCCAGCTCTGGGGGCCCCGCTAGGGAGAGCGCCCAGGCCCCCTGGCCACCCCTTTGCCCTCGTAGTTCTCTGCCCCACTATGCCTTCCCTCCACCCAAGTGAGCCGAGTCCTGTCCTCTCAGCAGAACCCAGGCACCCTCTGCAGAGCCTTCCTGGGTGCCGTGGGGAGCAGACTCGGCCCCCTAAAGCCGGGCACTGCCTGACCAACCCCTGGCCCTGGGGAGCTCTAGGGGGGCAGCCCTCGGGACCCCTCCCCTCCTTAGCACTAGCCCGTGCCCAGCAGGGCAGCCCGTGTGTGACCTGAACACTTTGGAGGGACCCAGGGACAGGTGTGCACGTGGGCTGGGCCGGGCGGGGTGTTACCTGGGTTGGACTGCATGTTGATGTTGGCCCGTGACACGTAGTTGCTGATGGCACCTTGGCCCTGCAGGGGCACACTCTGCGAGGAGGGTCCTGAGTGGCTGTAGCCGGGCCCCGAGCCGTGGCCGCTGCCGGACATGCTCATGGAGGTTGTGGGCAGCGTGCTCTGTGCCGTCTGCTGCAGGGTCACGTGGTTTGGACCTGCCAGGAGAGACGGTGAGGACGCCTTCAGCCCATCTAAAGCCACCTGTGACGGCAGGCCGGGCTCTCTGCCCGACACCCCGTTCCTCGGGTAGATGCGCTGTGCCGTCACTAATAGGCCCCAGTGGCCAGCAACAGTTCTGCTGCAGACAGGAGCACTTCCATTCTCGTCAGGGAACCCACGGAATCTACGCTGTGAGTCGAAGTGGCCCTAACCTCAGGTGCAAATCACAGCAGGAGAACTGGAACGAGGTGTCATTCTCTGCGTGTCACCCCGGGCCCCTGCACCTGGCACTGCAGCTGGCCCGCAGCCAGGAACTCTGGAGAGAGGGGTCTCCTTCGCGCTGTCCTGTGTGGCTACCTGGGAGCCTGCATTGGTGACACTGTTGCAAGAACCAACCGCAAACCCAAACCCCAAACCAGGGTGCTCACCATTGCCGATCTGGCCCTGCATGAGGGAGGCGGGGGGCAGGCCAGTGCTGATGGCATCACTGAGGCTGCCCTGGGAGTGCAGGCCCTGGCTGGCGCCGCTCTGGGACAGCGCTCCGGGGCCCAGGTTCATGTTCTGGGTGGGCGGCTGTGGGCAACAGGAGGTTATGGGGAGGAAGGTCAGTTCTGATAATGACCACCAACCAACAGCCACTGCAGGGACTTGTCCAGCTGACTTCCCTTATAATGGGAGGACCTGCCCCTTCTCACTCGCTGTTGGTGACCTTGGCTATGCCAGGTAAGACCTCAGACCTCTGCTCCCTCGCTGGCGGTCTGAGGCAGTGCCTGACTGTGCCGGGCAGGATGGGAGCCGCCCCCGCCCCCTTGGCACTCACGGCGGGCAGCAGGGACTGCATGTTCTGGTTGGAGTCCGCGATCGTGGCCAGGTAGACCAGGTTCCGGTGCAAGATCTGCTGGTACCTGCATGCGAGGGGCGTGTGGTAAGCAGGGGAGCCCACAGGCCAACCCAAAGCAAAGTTCACCCAGGACAGCTTGCCCTGCATCCCGCCCGGGGACACTGACTCCACAGGACACCTGGGGACAGGGCAAGCAGCAGAGTGCTCTGCAGTCCCAGATGGGCCAGGTGGGGAGTGGGTGCCCGTCCAACGACAAAATGCTGCAAAAACCTCAAGGTGGTGGCCAAGGGGGACGTGCCACTGGCTTCTTCAGAGACGGGGTGCAGGCAAGCCCTCGCAGATGCCCCTAGCTAATGCGATCCTCTATGCCCGAGGAGGTGCTGGGAGGGATGCCCAGGGGTGTGACGGCCACTCACACACGTCTCCCTCCAGGTAGCTCTGATGCCCAGCCTATGCACCTACTCTGTGTCTGGCCCTGGAGGTCTTACCTGGATGGAGCCCACTTTCCCCCGGTGTGTTCTCCAGCTGCTCACAGAGGTGCCAGCAATGTCTGGCCGGGGCCTCCCCAGCGGCCCTCTCTCCTCCCACACTTCCATTTCCCTTCAAATGTCCCATACCTCTCTGGGGAGCAACCTGGGGGACAATGCGGTCACCCTCAAGGGGTGATGCTCAGTGGCTTAGGTGACCTCCACAGCCCAATGCGCCCAGGCCACTCAACACCCCCAATGGAGGCCTTTCCAGCGCTGGGCAGAGCCTGTACCACCTGATAGCTGAGCTGGGGGAGGGGTCACTCACTGGGCACACTCGGCCGTCTTGCCCTTGCTCTGATGGTCCAGGATGCACTGTATCAGGTGGTGGTTCTCATCCAGCATCTGAGGGAGAAGCAGACGTGAGCGCAGGACGTGGGTGCATCTACAGTGCCTGCTGGAGGTTAGGGGGTGAGGGCTCAGTTGCTGACTAGATGTGACAATACCTGCTGTCAGCATTCTGTGTACACATTGCCACTCACGTGTATAACCTCAGCCAGCAGGGCTGAGCCCTTTCCACAGCCTCATGCTAAGCACACAGCCCCCACCTCCCCAGGGGCAGGTCCCAAGTTCTCTCGTCACCTGCAGATGGGATTCCAGTCCCCAGGACGCCCCCCATCTTGGGCCCCAGAGCATGGCGTATCTGTCCAGCTAGGGTGTGTTAAAAATCCACACCAGGGACTGGGGACCCTAAGATCTGTCTGGAGGGTGTGAAGTCCACACATGCCAGCCACACAGCCGTCCCTCCCAGGGGAGGCAGCTCGTATCCCCACAGAGCATCACAAAGACCTACAAGAGCCACCTCTTCAGGACGGCCACTGGGGACAGCAGCTGGGAGACCCAGGAGGAGGTGATGGAAGGAGCTGGAGAGGGAGGATGGCCTAATGGGAGGGTAGGAGGAGAGGGCTGTGTGGCAGGTACTGGCAGGTGCAATGTCCGGTGAGCACACAGGACGGCCAGCGGGCGGACCCAGGGCACCATTCTCTGCCTGGATGTGAAGAGATGGAGAAGCACACGGCTCATTCACGGCTGTCCATGCAGGAACCTCCCTGCTTGGGAGGGAGCAGCATAACAGCCCACAGCAAGCCACTTCCAATAGAAAGGCCTTTGTCCAGAGACTACCGCCAAAGGAAAAGCCTTTTGTTTCCACCAGGTTGTGCCCAGTCATCTGGTCCCAGTGGTTCCTCCAGACAGGCTCAGCTCTGCTGGCCCCTGAACGGTAAGGCCCTGCAGCGAGGGGGCAGAGGGGCCCACCTACCTGCCACTGCGCTGGCGCCCCAGCACAGGGTCCCAGCGCCACTCCCTCACTGTGCAACATGGCCACCTAACTGGTCTCTGATAGTGGACCCTACTCCTATGGAGCCTTGGGCCCAAACTGCCCCTGGAGAAGAGATAGGGGCTGGGCCCCACCACGCTCAGGGCCACGGTCAGCTGCCCTCTCTGCCCCTCAGCCTCCAAGTCCTCAGGGTTGGTTCCTCTTGCTTTAATTTCTTAAAAAATATTTTTTTATTGATTTCAGAAAGGAAAGGAGAGGGAGAGAGAGAAACATCAATGATGAGAATCACTGGTTGACTGCCTCATGCACGCCCCTCACTGGACATGCAACCTGGGCATGTGCCCTGACCGGGAATGAAACCGTGGCCTCCTGATTCATAGATCGATACTTAACCACTGAGCCACGCCAGGCAGGCTGATTTTTATTCACATTACAACTTCCTCCTCCCCTGGCTTTCCCACTATGTCCCCACTGTGGAGGTGGTACCCCAAGTACATCAATTCTCACGTTGACCCAGCAGCCAGCCAACATGGGGAGCCACCAGGGGGCGCTGTGAGCCCAGAGCTGCCTGCCACGCTCACCTGGGGACAGGTGAAGGGTGCTCAAACAACAGGAAAAGGCATTCTGGTCATTAACACATTATGACTCTTTTCTCCAGATCAGTTAACAAAAGGAAACAACTGGAACAGAGCTTCCTTTCCCTGGAAGGCTCCACGCCTCCAGGCAAGAATTCTCTCCCAAGGACACACAGTGCGTTAAGTACTGAAACCTTTTCTGCACCCATGTTCACTTCGGGTGTGGGGGGAGCTAAATGGGCGATGCTAGAAAGCCTGCAGTTATGGAAGAACCTGTAAGATGTTAAGCAGCATTATAAACGATTTTTGTAGTCTTTAAAGGCATGAGAAAATGTTACAAAATCTGTCAGCATGAGAAAATGTTACAAAATACTAAGAGACAGAGAGAGAGAGAGCGAGAGAAACAAAGAAAGAAGTAGGACACAGAATATTGTCTCAGCTAAGTTAAAAACACTCAGGAAGCCCTAGCCCATTTGGCTTAGTGGATAGAGCATCGGCCGGCCGACCAAAGGGGCCCGGCAGGCTCCTCCCTGGCCCGGGCCCTGGATGGGGTGCATGCAGGAGGCAACCAATCGATGTGCTTCTTTCACATCGATGTTTCTCTCTGTCTTTCCCTCTCTCTCTTTAAAATAAAAAAGAAAGAAAGAAAAAAAATCAATGGAAAAATATCCTCGGGTGAGGATTAACAAAAATAAAACAAACAAATAAAAAAACACTCAGGAAAAAAGTCCAGAACATGTTGGTGAAAGGGCCAAGTCGGTGATTGCTGCAGCGCAACCCCTCGGCCCACCCCAGTGAGTTAGGGACAGAAAAGGCAAACACTCATAGGGACGAAGGGGACAGGGCTGAGACAGCTGAGCCATCAGCAGGATTCTAGAAGCAAATGGACTGGTGATAACTGGATCAGCAGACCCCAGGTGCTGCAAGTGACACTGCGCCACCCAGGGAGCCCACACTGGGGAACGCAGCAGGCTGAGGAGGCTGAGATCCCTGGACCTTCCCCACTGCTCACCTGGCAGGAAATGGGCAGGGAGGGCTCGGGAGGGAGGGGGAAGGTGTCTCCAGGGAAATGAGGGCCGGGGAAGGAAGACAGGATAGAGGGCAGCACAGCATAGCCTCCTGAGCTCTGTGCACCACGTGAGGACAGTGGGAGAAGGCGCCACCAAGAATCAAACCTTAGGCACCGCAACCTTGGACTTCCAGCCACGGCAACTGAGAAAGAAATGCCTGCTGTTTAAGTGCCCCGTCTATAGCAGCTGGAGCCAGCGAAGACAGAGCCTAGAACTAAAAACATCTAAAAAGCGCCACTTGGTTTAGCGATGAGAAGGGCAAGAGGGTGTTGCTGGGAAGTGGAAAGACAGCAAGAGGCGGATCACTCCGGACTTTTAACAACCGCAGCACTGTGACTCTTCACGTGCAGGCGTGATATAGATCCGCACAGAATCTACCCTGGAAACAAGAAGTGAGGAGGGAAACCCTGGCTCTCGCCAGGCCACTACCCACCTAAGGGGGTCCATCCCCACCCTCCCAGGGCGGGCCCAAGGACAGGAGTGAGGGGACGGTGCCCCCTCCCATCCCTGGGGAGAAAGCACTTTCAGTGACAACTGCCTAAAATGATCAATTAGCCAAGTGAAGGGAGGCTCGGAGTCCCCAAGCCATTTGTAGCCATGGGGACAGCTCTAATTTTTGAAAATAGCCAATGTACCTTCCTTACCGAATTAGCCCACATTCTGGAAGGCAACAAGTTTCACATCTAACAGAGCCCAGAGAGCCCGCTCCCCACCCCGACCCCCGACACGGACAACGGAGCAGGACTGGCCTGGTTTTGACGTCTTCCTGGCTCTCAGACCTTGGGCATGGCACCTGCCCTCGCTGGTCTCACTTTCCTATTCCCAACCCACATGGCAAACACCCAGATGCCCACCTGCCTATCAGCTCTGTCCTGTTCCCATGGAACTGTCTCCCCTGCACAAGGTGCTGGCACAGAAGGACAAGACTGCAGAGAAAACCAATACAAACAGTAACAATGAAACTTAAATTGATTGATTGATTGATTGATTTCAGAGAGGGGAGAGAGGGAGTGAGAGATAGAAACATTAATGATGAGAGACAATCATTGATTGGCTGCCTCCTGCACGCCCCACACTGGGGATAGAGCCACAACCTGGGCATGTGCAGTGACCGGGAATCGAACCCTGGCCTCCTGGTTCACAGGTAAATGCTCAACCACTGACCTACAGCGGCTGGGTGAAAATTAAATTTATTAAGCAACTACCTGTGCCAAGGAGCAAGGAGGCACCTGCATGCCAGCCAAGGCCTTGTGCCCAGGGGCCCCTCCAAGGAACCCAAACCCAGCCTTGCAGTCCAGGGAGATGGCTAGTGGTGTCGGGAGCACAGCACTGGACAGCAGGGGCTCCCTGGTCCCGAACCAGTGGAGAGCTGCGAAGGGCAGGTCCTGGCCTGCATGCCACTGGACTTTGCTGGGACACTGCCCATCTCCACCTCAGGGTCCCCTATGGCTCTCACCAAAGCGCAGTTCCACCTGCATCTCACGCTGCATCAAACTGTCTTTGGTCACCACAGGCTACACCACCTTAACCCCCGCCCTGGCTCCCCAGATCAGCAGGCACTCCCTGCCCCTCTAATTTGCATCTCATGCCTGCTCCACGCAGACCATGGGCAGGACCACCTGCACCTCCCTGGATCTTCCAGACCCTGCCACCTCTGCTCCCCAGTTCTTCTGTCTGGAACACCCCTCCTCCACACAGCCTCTGTATTGCATTGAATTGTGATCCTCAGAATAGGTTGGATCTTAACCCCTGGGACCAGTAAATGTGACTTTCCTTGGAGACAGGGTCTTTGCAAACGTAGTGGAGTTCAGATAAATGAGGTCAGTCCAGATTCAGGTGGGTCCTAAATCCTATGACAAGTGTCCTTATGAGAAGAGGGAAATTTGGACCCTTAGACACACAGAGAGGAGAGGCCACATGAGACAAAGACAGAGATGGGGTGATGCGTCCACACACCACGGAGCTTGGAGGACTGCCAGGAACCACCAGAAGCTCAGAGGAAAGCAAGGGACCGATCCTCCCCCAGAGCCCCAAACAGGAACCAACCCTGACTTCTAGCCTCCAGAACTGAGAAAATGTTTCCTGTTTTAAACCACCCCGTCTGTGGTAACCTGTTATGGCAGCCAAAAGAAACAAATACATCTACCTATCCCAAACACTTCGACTGACATACCCAGTGTCATGGACGCTCTAGTATGTACTGGGCACTGACAGGCTGGGACTTTGCAAATAATTCAGTGACATGCAAACGTGGAAGCCCAAACAATGTGTCAAAATTCAGCACATGACTGCCAAAGGAGCATGAGGGAGGGGACATTTGAGTGGGGCCTTGAAGGTTGAGTAGGAGTTTGCCTGGCAGAATCCTATGCAAATATGCTCTAAGGACAAGCTGTATAGTTCCTGCTCCCTCACTACCAAGCAGCTTCTGAAAAACCCTGGCTTTTCTCAATGCTCTGAGCATGAGCACACGCTGTGGACACAGCTCATGTGAGTGTGGGTCACACACCTCTCGTGGCCTTCTCAAACTGCAAGTAAAAGACCCCTGGGTACATAAATTCACTGTCAAAACACCAAGGTGAGTATACAGATGGCTGGCTCAATCAGGTCAAATCAGATGACAACTTAAATTGAAGACCCATTTCCAATGAGCAACAGTTTCCTTCTTTCTGATCTGATGTTCGGGAGCAGGGCTTTTGCCTGGAAAATTTGGGGAGCTTTACTAAGAAGAGAGTGCAAAGTGCCAATAACTGGATGAATATTGAAGGCGAAAGTTGGCGTCTCTGCTCATCACACTTAAGGTCCAAGAGCCAGAGTGCCCGGAGGCCCTAGTGATTGCCGGTGTCTCTGAGCAAGCACTTGACGCTGCACCACGTGTTCCCACATCAGGTGTTATGGCTGGGCAAACCCTGGAGCCACTGTCTGGGTTCAACTCCTGGATCCATCACTAACCATCAGGCACTTAGCTTCCCTCTGCCTCAGTTTCCATATCTATAAAGTGAGAATGACAGTAACTACCACAAGGAATTAAATGAGTTAATATCTGCAAAGCCTTAGAGCAGTGCCTGGTATCAGTAAGCACCACCTAAGTGCGTAATAAACAAAAATGCCAGACTTTTAAGTCTGTATTTCTGCTGCTTTTCAACTAGCTTTTCCTGGTTAGAGTTTACTGAGACTCATCTCAGTAAACTGAGATGTTTACTGAGCCAAGCAGAGGGGTTCCTACACAGACAAGGTTCACAGATCCTGGCATCATCAAGAAGAGG